AGGCAATTCTTGGCACGTTCGAGGACGAATGTTTGATTAAGAGGGGAAAGATGTAATGACCCGACCGGTTATTTTGAGAATTTAAGTCCCGCTCGGTGGCATAAGGCCCTGAGTAGCTTCGTATTATGTGTATTGACTTTCGTGTGTGGTTGAATTCAGTTACCGGATGATTCGAAGTGATTTGGGACACTTAGTCCCTAAAAGGGAAGCTTAAGCCTAAGGATTTTGACCGTAGTCGGAACTATGTGAAAACGACTCCGGAATGGAGTTTCGTCGGTTTCATTAGCTCCGTTAGGTAATTTTGGACTTAGAGGCGTGTACGGATTGTGTTTTGGAGGTCTGTAGCTCATTTAGGCTTGAAATGGCGAAAGTCAGATTTTTGGAGATAGTGGACTTTTTGATATCGGGGTCGGAATCTGATTCCGGAGGTTGGAGTAGGTTTGTAATGTTGAATATGACTTGTGTGCAAAATTTGGGGTCGATCGGAGGTGATTTGATAGGTTTCGGCATGAGTTTTAGAAGTTGAAAGATTTGAAAGTTCACAAGTTCTATTCATGGTGCGATTCGTAGTTTCGACGTTGTTTGATTAGATTTGAGACCTCGAGCGAGTCCGTGTTAAGTTATGAAACTTGTTGGTATGTTTAGACGTGGTCCCGGGGGCTTTGGGTGTGTTTCGGGTGGGCTACGGGTCCTTTTCCCCTATTTTCGAACTGTTGTTCCTATTTTCTGATGTCCTTCTTCGCGATCGCGAAGCGCCTTCCGCGTCCGCAAAGTGTTACTGTTGACCACCTCGAGATCCTTCTTCGCATTCGCGTTCGCGAAGGTTTGCTTTTCCCCTTCATCGCGTTCGCGATTAGCCACCCGCGTTCGCGAAGCTCTTCCTGGCAGCCTCATATTTCTTCTTCGCGTTCACGTAGGTTTCGTCCCTTGTTCTTCGCGTTCGCGCTCCTTTCCTCGTGTTCGCGAAGGGTTTTTCTGGATAGTCTTACTTTCCTTCTTCGTGAACGCGAGCCTTTCTCCGCGTTCGCGATGCTTTCAGACCTGGACAGAATATAAGTTTTCCAAATCGATGGTTAGGCCATTTTTCATCATATTTTGACTTGTGGAGCTTGGTTTTAAGCGATTCTTTGTGGTTTTTTCAAGAAAATCGATTGGGTAAGTGTTCTTCACCTAGAATTTATTATATTCCATGATTTTATTTTTATTTTTATCATTTAATTTGTGTTTTGAGTTAAGGAAGATGGAGGTTTTTGAAGAAAAATTTCAAAATGAGAAATCATGATTTGAGGGACGAATTGGTATCGGAATTTGATAAGTTTAGTATGGTTGAACTCGTATCGGAATAGGTGTTCTGGTTTTGTGAAATTTGTCGGGTTCCAAGGTGCGGGCCCGGGGGTCGATTTTTAGATTTTGATAAAGATTGAGCTGAACCTTTATGATCCGGAATAGTTTCTAATGAGTTTTATTTGTGCTTTGAAGTTATTTTGGTTAGATTTGAGTCGTCGGGAGGTCATTTCACTCGAGAAGTTCATTTTAGAGTATCGGTTTGTCTTTTTTGAGGTAAGTATCTTGCCTAACTTCGTGTGGGGGAACTACCCCTTAGGATTTGAGTCTTCTATGCTAATTATAGTCCGTGTACGCGAGGTGACGAGTACGTACTCGGACTTATTTATGGAAAATTGGCCTTTTAGGATTCTTAGGCCCTTGTATTCACTGATTATGCAGTTGTTCTTGTTATGATTACGCTTCTTAATTACCAGTTTCACCTCTACCTGCTTAATTAGAATTAATTGCTTCATGATTCACTCTTATTGCTTATTTGATTCATATGTGCCTTAACTGAAATTGTTACCTTTCTATTGCCATGTTATCCTTTCCCTAAGTGCTTATTTTTAATTGAAATTATTACTATCTCTTTTGTAATTGTTCAGCCTTAATTGAGGTTATGGTTACCTTTCCGCTGCTTCTTCCTAGCTGAATTTGTTGTATCTCTTTCCTAATTGCCCAACCTTAAAAGAAGTTAGATATCCTATATTTTGGTTGACTTGTCCTTATTTGGAATTATTCGACTTGTGTTAGCTTTCTCGTTGTCGAACTGTATATTGTGGACCATTGTTACATAATATTTCCTTTCTTGTTGAGATGTTCTTATTATGACTAGTATTACCCGATTGTGGCTACTCTTTGTGAATTAGTTCCTCTGTTTCTATAAGTTCTGGAATCTCTTAGTTGACTTATTTGTCGTACCCTTGTATTATTGTCATTGTTGATATTGTACGTTTTGTTGTGATGCACGAGGTTTCTGCTGTGCGAGTGTCATTGGGTTGCACGAGATTTCTGTTGTGCTACTGTTACTATTGATATTTGCACATGCGGCGTGACAAGGCGGGATATATATATGTGGGTTGCGCATATAGAGAGACAAGGTGGGAACATTATTATGCACGTGTGGCGAGACAAGGCGGGCATTTATTTTACTATTGCACACGTGGCGAGATAATGTGGGTTGTGTCAGGGATTGATTTGTGATGACTTGTGATGGCTTAGGGGCATTCTTGTTGTTGATACTTGTGTAGTGGTACACTTACCTGTGTGAGCTTTATCTTGTGAAAAGTTGTGTGAAAACATTTTACATGTTGTCCATTTATTTTCCTGTACTTACTAGCTGGCATGAACCATGTTAGGACACTTGCACAAGCATACACGTAGCTGAGCACTCTTATCGGTTAAGAAGTTTTTTTGATATTGTTGAGTATAGATGAACACCCTTGTTTACTTGCCTTCTATGTAAGAATTGCTCTATTTGGCACGTGAGTCGTCAGTACGGTTATGAAGTGTAACGAGGGCACAAGATGCCAAGTGTTAGGGTTCAGGTAATAGAACCCGTGAGTTGTCAATAGTATGAGGTTCGGTACCTCGTGGAGTTTATTGACTAAAACCCGGTGTGAAAGCTGTCGTATTGTTGAGTTGTTACTTGTCCTTTCTTTATTTATGATTATCGGACTTAGGCTGTGTTTTCGTTCTTTCTTTTATGTCATTATTATGGTGTTCCGCTGATAGTTGTTGTTTTCCTTCCCTATTGCAATTACCGTATTAATTGCCATTTCACGTAGTCTTTATGTAGATATCATACTCTGTTGGTTCTATACTTATACTTGTTATGGTTATTTGGTCCAGTAGGTGTCTTGACTGTTCCTCATCACTACTCAACTGAGGTTAGTCTTGATACTTGCTGGGTACCTCCGTGGTGTACTCTTACTACGCTTCCGCACATTTTTTGTGCAGATTCAGGTATTTCGAAGTCAGTTGACCATTAGCTAGATGTGCGAACTTGTTGGTGTGGAGACTCAAGGAAAACCTGCTGCTGTGTTCGCAGGCTTCGGAGTCACTTCCTACTTTGTATTCACACTGTTTTACCTATTTCTAAATAGTTGTACTTAGAAATTTGTAGCAAACTCTGTAAAGCTTATGACTTGTACTACCGGTTTTAGGAATTGTAAATTTTATAGAGATTTCCATTTCAAAAATTGTTAGATGTTATTTAATTGTTGTTGTTATTCAGTAAATTTTAGGCTTACCTAGTCCCTAAGACTAGGTGCCATCACGATACCCAACGAAGGGAAAATTGGATCGTGACACTATGCATTGATGATTTCAACTTGAAAATAAAGGGAATACCAAGTATACATATAATCATCATAATTCGTGCCCATCATCTTTTTGAGTTGTGGTTTACTTCAACTTCTTGCTAGGTTCCCTTTAAAAAGGGCAGTCGCATAAATCATCTTGCATTCACGCAGGGTTCGGTGAAGAGCCGCACCTCAAGGGGTGTGATGTAGACAAGCTACCCTAATGCAAACATTAGTGGCTGCTTCCACGACTTGAACCTGTAACTTATAGGTCACACGGAGACAACTTTACCGTTGCTCCAAGGTTCCCCTTCTAATGTTCGCTTTAGGTTCCCTTTAAAGCCTCCAAATAGAGATCCAATTGTCTTAGAGAATATGTCTTCCCTTCAAAATGGAAATTATGTTGGCATTTCCACCTACACGATATTTGGAGTGGATCAGTACTTAATTGATACTCTACGTTCAATAAGAAGCCATCGCCAGTGTGATGAACTCATCTTCGTCACTCACTCCCAGGTATAAGGAACATAGAATTGAGCATGACAAATATAAGTTAGGGACTTTTGTATGCATGTCTGGTGTATCTTACTAGTTAACATTGATTGCGATTTGCGATGGGGTGCAATAAATGAAGCCCTAAGGGCTAAAGAGCTCTGCGAGAAGAAAATGCAGAATAATGACTTTGAAGGGACTCGAGGTTGCGTTGAAATCTGAAGGACTTTACCCTCAACTATAGAACATATCTCAACTACTTGTCTCCAATGTTCATTTTCTAGCTCAAAGCAGTGGAGTGGGATTAAAAATAATTACAATGGATCCCTCAAGTTGATAAAGTCACCATTAGACATCAATATTGGAGACTTGTAGACTATAAAGAAAAAAACCAGAATAGTCCTTTAAATATAGAGGTTGCTCTAACTTGGTCTTTTGTATATTTCATTGAGCATGAACACTCCTTTATCTTTGTAATTAGTGAGCACCTTTAGTCCAGATTAGTCTCAAGACCATTCACTATTAGAAAAGATTCACCTAAGGCTAAAAAAACTAACGAGACTAATGGAACTAATGGGAGAAGAGACAACACTAATGGAACAGAAAGAAACCGCAAGTATTAGCTTATGGAAATTTGCTTACCAGTAGACGAAATTATCAAGCTAGTGAATTATGTTTCTCTGTTCTATCTAACCAAATCATGTCTAATTCTAAGCAAAGCATATCTATTAGAAAATTATGACTAGTGCATGCATATTAAATGTTTGTCTCAGTCTACTATTATTATTGATGGTAGAAAAAACTTTTCCAAGCAAAGAAAGAGATGGACTCTTGCCTAATCAAATTTGAACTCAGAAATATTCGATCCGAGGAGGAAACTATTGAAGTTGGATTCTTGATATTTCTTTCATTAATGGTGCTTCTTTTGTTTATGAAATTTTCTCTATAAAAATGCGTGTTAATGCATGCATGGTATACACGTCTAATAAATATCTGGCATCTAATACACAATCTAAACCAGATTCTTTAATTTGAAAAAGGGGTGCCAAGGGGAGATTCAAGGTTAGAGCTTGCCATCAGCTTTTAAGGTCTTCTGTTGGCAGCATACCCAAGTCGCCATGGAAATGCGTCTGGAGAAACAAAGCAACCCTAAAGGTGGAATATTTCACATGGTTGGTAGCACATGGTGGATACCTAACTCATGAGAATCTCCAGAAAAGAGGACTTCATATATGCAAAGGGTGCCCATTGTGCGAGAGAGAAATGAGGATGTTAACCACCTCTCCATTAATTGCTCATTCACCATGCAGATCTGGAATATCATTCTTAACATAGTAGGGATCAGCTGGACAATGCCTGAGACAACCATAGAGCTACTGCATAGCCTGTATATGGAAGGGATGGAAAAGGATAAGCTGAACACTAGAACTCACTGCCTTCAGTGGTGGATCATTTGGAAGGAAAAGACCACTTGAATTTTTTAAAGCAAAAAAAAGAATCTGTAATTAATATTAAGTATAAATGCATTTCTTTACTGTTCTTTTGGTATAATATGGCAAGTGCAGATGAACAACAAGCATGATTGACTTTTTGAGCTCATTACACAATATGTAATATGGCTGTTCCTAGTAAATATTTTGCAGTACTTTGCTGCCAATTAGCGTTTACCAATCAAAAAAATAACCAATGTTTTACTTTTTCTTTTTCTCATCCTTCACTTAAGTCTTTCNTGCATAAAGATGAAGACATGAACATATTTACTAGTCAAGTGATCGGGTTACTAGTAAGAATATTTTCTTTTTTTTTGGATACCTTTATGCTTTACTCAACCTAAAAACTAAGGGAAATTCGTCTTCTAAGTGTATTTTTCTCAAAAGTGCTTTTCAAAAATGTGCTAACGAGGAGAAGCTACTTTTTTCTGCTTCTCAAAAACTACTTCTACTCAAAAGAATTTTTGTTCCTTCTAAAAGTTTGGTCAATTACCTTAACTTTGGGAAAAAATACTTTTGGCCCCAAAAAAAGCTTGGCCAAACAGGCTATTATTTAGTCTATTGTTCAGAATAAAGACTGACATTTTGCTCTGAAAGATAAAATAACAGACGAGAAAGGCAACACCAGTGAAATGATATCCATGTTTCTCCCTTCAAACTGATTTATTAGACTTGCTGACGAACAATAGCAACAACAGTAGTTCTACATCAAATCAAGTTTCCTCTCTGCTTCATCATGCACTTCATCGGCATTGGTTCTCATAAACTGGTACACCGCAATTGCATGGTCCTTGGCCCCAAAGAAGTTTCGCAGCTTTGAAGGTGACTTGTAAAAAGCCAATGGTTTGTCAGACACATATATATTGATCAGTCACCCGCTTAATATTTAGGTAGTTCTCAAGACTCCATTCCCCACGTTCGCCGCTTAATAATCCCAGGTAAGAATATTTTCATTAGTATATTTTCCAGGAATATTTCTTGGAGAGAGTTTTATTTTCAGAGTTAGTCTCTTTTCCAAAGGCCTAGTTCCCAGCTTTTAAATATTGTTATCTTTTGCGTCAGTGAATAGCCTGCAATCTAGCGCTAGATCAAAAGGGCTAACTTTTTACAAAGATACAGGATTGTTTATGTCCAACTTTAAATATAAGGGATCAAAACAAATCTACCTTTAGGGCATATATTCCTTTTAGGATTTTTTCTCTTAGATTATGATGCACAGAGCATTTTTTTGATAAGGTAAGGTAGTTTAAAAGGCAGGACCATTTCTCGATGTGCGTGTCATCCTTGCACAGGGGCCATCATGCTAATCTTCTCTGTGTCGTTCTAATTTTATCGGATGTCCCCAAAGGGACATGCACAGAGAATTTTATTTTAAGTTATTATTTATTTGAAATAAAATGCCTAGAATATAAAAAGAAGAGGAGTAGGAGGAAGGTCAAATCTCCATTTTCACTCCCTCACTAAGATTACACAGTGAGACATACCTGCTGAATGTTTATGACTAGTGACTTCCTTTGGAATCTTGTTAGCCTACGAAGGAACATTCATCAATGACTCCGATGCCTTCTTCTCCGCAGCAGCTGCAGCTTCTTTTGCTGCTTTCCTCTCAGCTTCCAGAGCTACGGCTTTTTCCTTTTCAACTCTTTCAGCTTCCAGCCTAGCCTGCACCTGATGAAAAAAAACTTATTATTACCCACAAGGAGAAAATTCAATCACAAACAACAATTTTGTAATAGATGTAGCATGAGGGGAGACAAATAGACAGCTAGATTTCACAGGAAAGCAGGGATGCTAGAACCAGGGAATGTGAGCATTAGCACTTGCAGAAGTATGCCACAGAGAAGAAAAAAAGCAGTTTCAATAAAAATTAAGTTACTAAATTAACACAAGCAGTAGTCTTTTGATCGGAATTAACATATCAGTGGAAATGGATGACAATGCAATTTACTTTACTGTAGGTTCCAGATCATACGACATAATCAGGGAGGAAAATAGAGCAGAGACATGGTATAACTGGACAGAACGAGGTTATAACGTGTTCATGAGGACTTTCTTCAGCCAGAAGACGATGGAATAGTTATGCTATGAACTAACAGAAGCTTCGAAAGGGAGGGGTAATTCAGTGAGAAGATGGAAGTCCCAAGACCACTTCTCTGAGTTCTTCTGCTCGAAAAACATCAACAAATATGGTCGCTACATAAGTATTATAAACATGCAAAAGAGAAGGAGATCTGTTATTATTATACCTGAATTGGCATCTAATATAGGGTGGTTGGACATTGCACTTAAAATATCAAGATTCATTAATGGCAGAGCCCAAAGGGCAGTTACAATTGTCCCTATGAATACAGAGGAAGGACTCCTTCATTCAGACACAATTAGAAGAAACAAATGGACAACCAGAGAAATGGAAAAGGCCTCTGTGCATGAAAAAGAGGGCATCATCAAAATCTCTAGAGGAATCAGCATTGTCCAAAATGAACTCCTTTCCAGGAGTGTGGTGGGTAGCCTTCCAGTTGGGATTTCTGACATCCCCTACCCTCTCGGAGATCCGGCGGTGGGCCAGCAGCACTTGGAAGCAAGCTCATGGGGTAAACATCTATGAGATGTTCCAAAATCACTTTCTGTTTGAGTTTTCCTCGAAAACAACTGCTGCACATATGCTAAAGGGGAACTGGAGCTGGAAGTTTCATAAGTTTCATCTTCAATGGTGGTCGCCGACAGTGGGATCTATATCACAAATTGAGAAGATAGAACATTTTTGGATCAGACTTGTTAGACTCCCACTTCATCTCTGGTCCCAGAAAGTCTTCAAAGAGGTTGGAGATCACTGTGGAGGTTGAGTTCAAACTGAGGAAGAAACGGAACTCAAAAATCACCTAAAATGGGCCAGATTGAAGGTGAGAGGAGATGGGGATTTTATCCCGAGGGCAGTAATCATTGAAAATAAAGGAATTACTTACACGATCCAAGTCTGGTGTGAGTCACCGGTAAGATTTTCCTCCGGTGAAGGAAGATAGATGAAGGTCATGGACCAACGGGTAATCGTAGACTCTATGTTGGCAGTGGGAGGGGCTCAAGAATATGGAGATGGGACGGGGCACGTGGGTTGCTCAAAAGCCTTACAGCCTAGGTTTTCTGAAGATACACGTGACCGTGTGAGGGGGCATTTAAATTAAATGACCCGATACAAATAAGGTCTATGTTACATAATAAGCAATCTTTGGACCCAGATATCATGGCCTAAGTCATTTCAGAAGACAAGCCCAATTTGGAACACTCTAGTAAATACAGACCAGACCCACTAATTGAAGAAATATCAGCAATCTCTCTGCCTCCTAATATTTTGCATGCTGCAAACATCGAACCAGAGTCAAACCTGATCGAAGAAAGGGCAACATTAGAGGAAGAAGAACGAAAATAAGAAGCCCAACTAGACCCAGTTGACAAGAAAAGTGCCATGATCATTGCGGAAGAACCAGAATGCTCTCCACTAGGTTTCCAACCCTTGTAAAACACATAAGGGGAGGAAACTACTGAGTGGGCAATTGAAAAGGTTGAACCCTTGAATTCACACACCCAAGAGCCTGAGAAGGACCCTGACTTTTAATATACCTATCTGGGTGCACCAAAACATCATCAAGAATTTGGGGTTGATTTCCAAGGTTGCGAAAAAGAGGCTTTACAGCTTTTCATGAAGATTGATCAAAAATACAAACACATATGGGTATTGCAGGAACAATAGTGACAATAACTCCTAAAACTAAGGGTTCTAAAGAACTGAAGAACCTGGACATCGGGAGCAATTTCAAAAGCAATAGTACCAGAAGTAGAGGGGGCTACCACATCAATCAAGATCAATGAAAGTCAACATTGTATCATGGAATGTGAGGGGATTGAACAAGGCAAGGAAGAGGAGACTAATCAATAACTGCATTAACATTTGGAAAGCAGATGTCTACTGCTTTCAGGAGACCAAAATTGAAGAAGATATCACAAGAATTGTGAGAGAATTATGGGCCAATAGATGGTGCACATTTGCACAACTAGATGCTAGCGGTACAAGGGGAGGCATTTTACTGATGTGGGACGGTAAGGTATGGGAAGGTGAGACAACCAGCTTGGCTTCCTACTCTATCACATGTAAGTTCACTGGAAAAACACAGGACTTATCTTGGCACTAAACAAGTAATTATGCTCCTAACGACATGGCAGAGAGAGAAGAAGTTTGGTGGGAAATTGGTATAACAAGAGCCTTGTTCTCGGGTCCCTGGGTGGTATGTGGGGACTTTAATAAAGTTAGATTTCCTTCAGAGAAGAAAAACTGTAACAGAATCTCCAGATCGATGATTGATTTCTCTGAATTCATCAAGGATATGGAGTTGGTAGATCTACAACTACTAGGAAGTAAGTTCACTTGGAGGAAAAGAGACAGACATGACATTGCAGCTAGACTAGATAGATTTCTTATTTAAGAAATCTGAAGATGGGGATGACGGCTTCAGGAGTATCAAACAATCAACCTTGCATAGAGTGACTTCTGATCACACGCCTCTGTTACTTCAATGTGGAAATTGGGAGCCTATCAAATCCAATTTCAAATTAGAAAATTGGTGGCTGTAGACAGAGGGTTTCAAAGAGAGAGTCAAAGAATGGTGGGACTCTTTCAACTGTGAAGGAAGACCTGACTATACTCTAGCTTTCAAATTGAAGGCTCTGAAAGGAAAACTCAGAGAATGGAGCAAAACTATTCAGGGAAATCTAGAAATGCAGAAGCTTAATATTCTCTCTCAATTAAGTTAATTGGATGAGATTCAAGACCTCAGGAATATAAATGAAGATGAAATACTCTCAAAAGCAACATTAACAGTGAAATTTGAGGAGATCGCAAGAAAAGAAGAAGTCGCATGGAGACAGAGATCAAGAGCTCTTTGGTTGAAACAATGAGATAACAATACGAAGTTCTTCCATAGAACTGCCAATGCTCGTAAGAGGAACAACAACATTGACATGTTAGAAGTTGAAGGTGAACCTATCAGAAAACTTGCAGATATCAAGATGGAAATCATCTCATTCTATCAAAACCTCTACGCTGAGTCACAATAATAGAGGCCCCATGGAAACCTCAGAGTTTGTCCTATGATCACTCCAGAAGAAAACCAGATACTACAGAGTCCGTTTGAAGCCCAAGAGGTATGGAGCAGTGTTCAAGCATGTGCTGGGGATAAAGCTCCTGGCCCTGATGGCTATACCATGTCCTTCTTCACTCACTTTTGGGAGGTAGTCAATGTTGATGTTATGATAGAGGTGTTTTTGAAAAAAAGCTTCAATGCCACCTATGTGGCTTTGATTCCTAAGAAAGTGGGTGCCAAGGAATGAAAAGACTTTAGACACATCAGCCTAACAGGTAGCATCTACAAAATCATATCGAAGTTGTTGACTGAGAGACTCAAGAAAGTGGTACATAAATTGGTGGATGCTCAATAAATGGTCTTTATCAAAGGGAGATAGATAATGGATGCCATACTTATAGCAAATGAATGTGTAGACACAAGGATCAAAAGCAAACTCCTAGGCATCCTATGTAAGTTGGACATTCAGAAGGCTTTTAATCATTTGAACTGAAGTTATCTGCTTGGAATTTTGGAGAAGATGGGGTTTGGAGGCAGATGGATCTCCTGGATCAAATTATGCATAAGCACTATCAAATTTTCCATCTTTATCAATGGCTCCCCAGCTGGCTTCTTCTCATCCCAAGGAGGACCGGGACAAGGTGATCCCTTATCCCCTTCTTGTTTATCATTGCTATGGAAGGTCGTAATGACATGTTGAAAACTGCTCAGGGTAACACCTGGATCAAGAGATTCAATGTATCTACTAGGGCTATCAACAATCTAGAAATCACACTCCTTCAGTATGCCGACGACACACTAGTTTTTTGTGAAGCTGATAGAGATCAACTGAGAATTCTGAGGGTGATATTTATTCTATTTGAAGCCATATCTGGGTTGCACATTAATTGGAGCAAGAGTCATATATATCCAATCAATGAGGTCCCTGATATCCAATACTTACCTAACATTCTGGGAGGGAGAATTGGAGAACTTCCTTCAGTGTATCTTGGAATGCCTCTGGGAGCAAAGAGCAAGTCAAAAGAAATTTGGAATGGTGTACTAGAGAGTGTGAAAAGAAATTAGTTCACCGGAAAAGCCAATATCTTTTTTCCCTAGGGGGCAGACTAGTTCTAATCAATAGTGTACTGGATGCCTTGCCCACTTACATGATTTCTCTATTTCCTATCCCGGCAAATGTAGTCAAAAGAATAGATGCATTGAGAAGGAACTTTCTTTGGCAAGGCAACAGTGACAAAGGCAAAATTCACCTGGTCAATTGGGATTCACTTGTAACCAGCAAGAAGGAAGGGGGGCTGAGCATTAGGAACCTAGGAATTCAGAACCACAGCCTAATGATGAAATGGCTCTAGAGATTTACTTCGAGTGAACGCTCACTATGGAAAGATGTCATTAGAGTGAAGTATGGAATGGAAAGTAATTAGACTACCAACTCTACAACCAGTCCTTCTGGTGTCAGACTATTGAGATCAATTAGGAACTTGTGGCCAAAGTACAAAAACAAATCTAGATTCAAGGTGGGCAATGGAATGAAAACTTCTTTCTGGGATGACACCTGGCTAGGTCAATGTCCTTTGAAACAGACTTTCCTAGACATTTATAGCCTGAACCAGCAGCAAGGAGCAACTGTGGGAGATGTATGGCCAAACCAAAGATGGAACCTTAGGTATAGAAGATTATTCATCGACTGGGAGATCGTCAGGCTAACAGAATTCTACAACACCTTGGATCAATTCAAAGGGATATTCACTCCTGAAGATTGTATGTTCTGGCAAAGGGATAAGCAAGGTAAATTCTCAGTCAAGTCTACCTACAAGGAATACAACACCTCTAATAATCAGATTGGAAGTTGGCCTTGGAAACTAATTTGGAAAGTCAAAATTCCATACAAAGTTGCTTGCTTCACGTGGTTGCTAGCCAGAAAAGCGATCTTAACTCGGGATAATCTTATCAAGAGGGGCCTTCACATATGCTCCAGATGCTACTTATGTGGAGAAGAGGCAGAGAAAATCAACCATCTTTTTTTGCACTGCAGGATAATAGAACAAAGTTGGAGGATTTTCATTAACTTGAAAGGAATTATGTGGGTAATGCCAAGGAGTGTTATTGAACTTCTAGAATGCTGGAACAGACTTAGTAGCTCCCCTAATCAGAATGAGAGATGGAAGATTGTCCCAACTTGCTTTTAGTGGACTGCTTGGAAAGAGAGAAACCTAAGATGTTTTGAAGATAGACATAGTACTATCTAGAGAATGAAAATGCATTGTTTAGCTCTTTTTAATTTTTGGTGTAAGCAAGAGTACATGGAAGATCCAGAATCTTTTGTTGATGTTTTAGAATCCTTGTAAGGACTAGATAATCTTCCTGTACCACCCTTTGTAATTATGGTTAACTTACATATTTTGATACAGTTAATATATATGCAACAAATGTTACCTTCTCAAAAAAAAATTAACACAAGCACAATTACTTCCTCGTTTGATGATTCTCACAAATAGCTAACTTTGTAAAATCTATAAAAATCACAAAACGGCGGGCGACCAGAAATGCAATTGGATAAATATAGCTTTCTAAACTTTTTTTTCCTTAAAGAAACTCTTCTACTAAGCATATGAGAGAATTTGCAATAAGCATATCAAATTTTGTGTCTCTCTCGATAGGAGTAAAACACATACATTGGCTTCTGCTCTGATCATTTTTTGCCGGGCTTTTTCTTCTTGAAGAGCTTTTTCTTTCCTCTTGGCTTCTTCACGAGCTGCATCATCTCTTATTATCATTTCTTCAATCTGGGATCTGTGTTCGTGATCCCTTTGCACAGCAGTTAGGTGATCATCAAGTGCTTCTGCACTACAGTAATACAATTGAAGTCAAAAGAATATTTTTATTAAAATTAAACTGTAGGAACATGCAAATGGTGATTAAACTTCAAATTCTGGGTACTCCAAGCATGTATAGAGTGAACAAGAAACATTAACAAAAATTTAATATTTATCAATCGCAAAGTTTTTTTTATAGAGACCAAGGGCATGCATGTGTTTGAATCAGAAAATAGTCACTTGTAATCAAAGTGACATGACTTCCTGTTGGTGTCCCTTCTATACAGTAACTCGGCTCGCTGCCCATACCCCTGAATCTGTTTTACACCTTCATCTGTAATTCATGTCAACAAGAAATGATGAACAAATCACCCTATTCACTTTCATTCCCAACCTAAACAACATTAGTGGTTTGTGATGTAAATCAAACATCCTTAGTGAATTTTTTTGTAAGTAAATTCCTCACAAACCAGCTCTCATTTAAGTAATTGAGATTTGATTGGCATGTCTTTGGCAAATATATTATTTCCATTGGTCCTAGAGTAGCAGCAGCAGCAGTTGAAGTGAAGTCCACAGTACGGATAAAACAAATACCCTGGTCTTTAGCAACTAAATAGATAATGTTTTCATCAGTTCCAACAGATCACCATTGGACCAAAACCCACTGAACATCTACCTTGTTATACATCATTGAACAAAGAAAAAACTATTAACTAGATGACAAACTTAATGCAAAAATAAGTTTTTTTTCTCACAAAACCAGAGTAATACGCCTGACATTTTACGCTGGTACTGCATGTCAAATTTTCTGTTCATTTCCCTTTGAGCTTCAGTATTTCTCTCAACCCGTTCAAGTGTGGAGGCAAGCTTCTGATTTTCATCCATTAACTCAGCTTCAATTGCTGATAGTTGATCTCTCATTTCCTCCTGTTGTAAGGTAATAAGAGAAAGAGATTCGGTTTAATATATTCATCCCTTATTTTCTTTTTCTAAGTGAATCAAGGCGGGGACATGGTCAGAGAAAGTTAAGGAAGCATATAAGTGAAGTTACAAACCGCAATAGTAAGCTGGTGCTCATGAGCTAATTCAGATAAAGCACTTTCCACTAATCCCACTTTATCCATTAGATCATGTTGAAGTTCAATGCCCATGCCTTCTTCAGAATGGTCGCTATCACTGAAACAACATGAGAAATATTGCACTAAGTATTAATCAAGAATGAAACGAAAGTTTATTATTAATAAAACGGAAGTTAATAGGAATAACTTCATGATGCACCTCGAAAACAAACTATGAGGTAATATTAAGTGCTTAAGCACCCCCTCCCCCCATCCCACCCCATCCTAGCCACACACACACCTATCCTCCTTATTTGGCTAAGACTCTTGGCTCAATAAGTAAATGCTATAAACATGTAATGCCTTAAACAATTATAGAGCCAAGCAATTATGAGATGTTTAACATGGGGAAGGGCATTTGTAGCAACATATTTCATAGCTTGTTTCTCTGTTCTAATAGACCTCCTCGCATTCTTACACTCTATAATGTTTGCAATTGTTGAGTACTCACCTCAGATACATTTCATCACAAGAAAAACGTTTTCCCCCCAGAACAAAATGATCACCAACTTCATCCTTAGTGTCTCTTTCCACATCCTCCACGTCGTCATCAGACACTTGCATAATAAAGCCTCTCCAAGAATTATTCTTTGAAGTCGAGAGTACTCTGAGTAAAGACAGATTAGACAATAACACAGAAAATTTACTATCCAAATGAAACTAAAATGCTTGATGTGATTTTCACTAAGAAACCTTGTTAAAATAACATACCGAGATTCTGCTTTAGTAAAAGGTAATGGAAATTTCGATGATTCATTGAGCTCCTTCTCTATCGAGTTGAGCTCGACCAGTAAAGCATCAAAGCTCCAATCAGGGTTTGGATCCAGGGTCATTCCATTAACATTTTTACGCAACGGCAGTTGCAGTTTAACAGTACCCCTGAGGAAAATAACCATAACTCAGCACAAACCAAGCAACAAGTTGAATATTATAGTTACAGATCTTATAAAAAAAAGTTATAGTTCCAGAATTTCAATAAACTTGTTGCAATAAAGGAAAACCTGACATGTGATGTTGTTATCACTACAACTATGAGAAAGGTATTTTGTCAAACATATGCATAGAGGTCACATGAACCAACCCCTCCCTAAAAGAAAACTAAAAAATGGCATTAATTCTTCGTGGACTACTACAAATAGAGAAAGAGATGAAAAAATGGATATAGGAAAAAAGTACTAACTTACATTATTCTTTTCCAGCCTTAAGAACACCTTTAAATAAAGTTGTGTACAACCTTCACACACTTGAGTCTTGAAATTTGACATATAATTAATTACATGTAACAATTGAAAAGCAAAAGTTACAAACAGAAAATGTAAAAGATCATAACATGAACACTCATAAGGGAAATTTGAAAGCTAAACCCTGATATTACTAATACAGACAAGAGTATGAATAGATGGGGGAAAGATAGCACAAAAAGGGATAAAGAGGGCGCTGATTTGAGATTAAAGTTTCATTATTTATATTAATTTCCTCCAAGATTTACTCAACAAAAGGCTCTGCTCTCTGTGAAGCGTCTACTTTTGAAATTTTCTTGGATTTGCAGTTGTGGTTTCTTGAAATAATAGCTATAGAAAATTCAATAAAATCAAATGGATTTTTTACTATTCCGAATTGGATAGATCATAAGCTGAGGGTATGAATTTTGAGGAATTGCGGTGAAGGGAGGGAGAAAAGGAAGCTTAACGTGAAAGAGAAAATGAAGGTGCTAAAAAGTAAAAAATGAATGTACTACGCTGATGTAGCTAATAGGTATTCCTTTAGCTAAAAAGTAACTCGATCACATCCATATCTATCATTCATATATCTTTAAATTTAAATTATATGAGAAGCACCATTAATAGAAATTCAGTAATCGATAAATCAATTATTGGCTCAATTCTAAATCGTTTAGGACAGCCTAACATTCAAGTCAATCTCAATGCATAACTAAATAAGATAAACAATAACTTCTCAAAAAGTTTCAATTTATCTTTATATGGAGAACTATGTCTAATCTCAACTTTATTTATTTGCATCTTGTACTTTCATTGTATTTTATCTTAGCTAAATCTTCATTAATTTTGGAAACTTTAGATATCTTGAAAAGATATTTTTTGTTATAACAATATATTCATTTGAAATATTAATTTTAGCTATTAAAGTAAGACCTAAATTAATCCAAAAATATTTAAAATTTAATATGTTAAATTAACACTAAGTCAATCATAAAATGATGGAACATAAAAATAGGTAAATACCGTTCATATTAGATGTTAGATGTATCATATAGGCGACTCATTTATGACGAATTAATGTTCTATGACAAAAATGTGATTGTCTTGAAAAGTACATTGTAATCTAATTAATTGTTACATCTTTCTCTTCTCTCTTGAATTCCTTCCACTTGTCTGGAAGCGAAGAAAATTTTAGGCTATTTTCCCTAGCTTATTTGATAGCTTTACTAATGGAATTGCCTTAACTGGCCTAACTTTACCATCTCGGATCTCTAATATATGTACATGGTCGAAATAGATTTCGGTCTTCCTACGTTCGATTGAGTTCAAGTGGTAAGAAATCGGAGTGGGACTTTGGGAATGATCTCCAAAGACAGTACTAACGAGCCTCGAGTCCGAAGGCTGCTCGAGGAGTCGGCTCGATAATCCTATCGTGCCTGTTACCAAATCGATCCGCAAGGCATTGCTTCGAGGTTGGAAAGGCGCGACGCTCATCCCGAAGGTCGAACTCAAGCTAAGACCAAAGAGCTCGACCCAATAACGAGTTCGGGTCAGTATCGAGCTCACAGATAATAGCCGTTGCAACCGCATCAAGAGAGAGAAACTTTGCGGGAATCAAGAAAGGGACAAATCATCATGGGTCATCCACTATATGTTTTATTTTATTATTTTTTGTTATAAATAAGGTAATGACCCTCTACTATAAAAGAGGGGTCCTTGTAAGCTATGAGGGGGGGAAGGGTCCGATTGGAACAAAAAGATCATTTCTCATATACAAAGATATCTCCTTGTGCTTGTTTTACTTCATCTTATTCATTCTTTCTGTTCATCATTCTCATTCTCATAATCAAAATACTTATATTGTTATCTTTATATCAAAGGGTATTACGCATCCTTAGAACCATACATAAATTTAACATTATCCGATTTTTCGGATAAATAGTTTGGTGCCCACCGTGAGGCTAAGGATAACAGTGATTGTTTGATATAAATATACAGTACACACCAGCTTACAACTTCAAATCAGCAATGGCTTTACATATCAACCACGAAGCCGGCCTTCAAGGTGAAACCAACAACTTGGCACTCGGGGCCGGAAGGCCACTTGACGATGGCACTGAGGCTCGAATCGAAGTATCCGAAATTCAAGCCGAAGTGCCATTGCATGTCAATTCACAAATAGCTCTGGAGGCGAATCAGCGTTCCAAACCGGAAAGAAGCATTCAAGGCGGTACGCGATCCGTAGTCTGAGACACCCATAACGCGGGGGAAATTGGGGCCAACTTACGTATGATCTTCGAGATGCTACAAGCCCAACAAGTAGCGATAGCTCAGTTGCAGAGCCAAACTCATATACAAAGCAAGCCGGATTCCAATCCGCTTCGAGAAATCACCCCCAGAACGGAACCCGCCATAATGAAATCAAACGAGCAGGAATTGGGGACCACTTCCGAAATTACTAAATTGCTCGAGGAACTCACAAAACGAGTCGAAGCCAACGACAAGAGAGTGGAAACATACAATGTCAGGGTCGATCAAATCCCAGGGGCTCCACCAATGATAGAAGGGCTTGATTCGAAAAAAATCATACAAAAGCCTTTTCCCTCGAGTGTGGCCCCAAAACCAATCCCCAAAGAATTCCGTATGCCCGAAATTCCCAAATATAACGGTACGACCGATCCTAACGAACATGTCACCTCTTACACATATGACATCAAAGGTAACGATTTGGAGGACGATGAGATTGAATCTGTGTTGTTGAAAAAGTTCGGGGAAACCCTCTCGAAGGGAGCAATGATCTGGTATCACAATTTACCACCAAATTCCATCGATTCTTTTGCCATGTTAGCAGATTCGTTCGTAAAAGAACATGCTAGTGCCATAAAGGTTGCAACAAGGAAATCAGACCTCTTCAAAGTAAAGCAAAGGGGTAATGAAATGCTGAGGGAATTCGTATCCCGATTTCAAATGGAACACATGGAATTGCCACCGGTCACAGACGATTGGGCCGTAAAAGCTTTCACCCAAGGGTTGAACGAGCTAAGTTCGACAGCATCACGTCGGCTGAAACAAAATTTGATCGAGTATCCAGCAATAACTTGGGCAGATATACACAACCGATATCAATCGAAAATTAGGGTCGAGGATGATCAGTTGGGAGCTGCGTATGGACCCGTGCATCAGAACAGGACATCTACTAAAAATCAAAAGGAGATCGATAGAGAACAAAGGTCGAACAGAGACCGATATCAACTGTACGTCGCAGATCGGATGAACAACGGTTCAGCACGCAATACAGTTCGGAACAATCGAAGGATTGATCGAGGGCAAAATTCTCGGGGACTTATGAGCAAGAGTGGATTTGATAAATATGCCGATCCTATAGAAGCACCTTGATTATCAGAATATAACTTCAGCGTTGGTGCATCCGCCATCGTGTCAGCTATCGGACGCATCAAAGACACTAAATGGCCTTGACCGATGCAGACCGATCCTGCCCAAAGGAATCCTAATCAAATGTGCGAATATCATGGCACCTATGGCCACATAACGGAAGATTGCAGGCAACTAAGAGAGGAAGTAGCCCGCTTATTTAACAAAGGGCACCTTCGGGAATTTCTGAGTGATAGGGCGAAGAGCCATTTTAAAAACAGGGATTTCGGCAAGCAAAACGAGCAAGAAGAATCGCAGTATGTCATTCACATGATCATCGGCGACGTCGATACCCCTCAAGGACCAATGCTTAAACGCTCTAAAACATCGATTGTGAGGGAAAAGCGATCTCGGACTCAAGATTATGCACCCATATGGACTTTGTCTTTCGATGATGAAGATGCAGAAGGAGTCATCCAACCTTATAATGATGCACTGGTAATATCTGTACTCATGAATAAAACTAAATTTAAGCATGTGTTAATCGATCCAGGTAGCTCGGCCAACATCATCAGATTGAAGGTCGTGGAACAGCTCGGTCTGCAGGACCAGATCATACCCGCAACTCTGGTTCTAAACGGATTCAATATGACATGTGAAACCACCAAAGACGAGATAATCCTACCAATAAATGTGGTCGGAACCATTTAGGAAACAAAGTTTCACGTGATCGAAGGCGATATGAGATACAACGCCCTTTTCGGAAGGCCATGGATCCACAACATGAGAGTTGTACCTTCGACCCTATACCAGGTCCTCAAATTTCCAACATCGAGAGGTGTCAAAACAGTATACAGAGAACAACCGGCCGCAAAAAGAAATGTTCGTCGTCGAGGAAGCGAAATCAATATCCTCACCTTCGCCGATAAAGGGATCGGGCTCAGAAGGAGAACGGAACACCAAATAGCAATCACAAATGTCGGCTTCGACCTAGCCAGATAGCCAGAAGATTGAAGAAAATGATGGTCAGAGGATCCCTCGATCCTTCGTGATCCCCGATGATTTTGATGCGACCAAATCAACAATTGAGGAACTGGAGCAAGTCATACTAATCGAGCATTGGCCCGAACGAAAGGTATACCTAGGAATGGGGTTGAGCCTCGAACTCAGGAACAAAATTGTTCGATTTTTTATCGATAACATTGATTATTTTGCCTGGTCCCATTTAGATATAACAGGGATCCCACCGGACATAACGACGCATCGGCTAAGCTTGGACCCTAGGTTCAGACCGGTGAAGCAAAAAAGAAGTCCCCAGTCCGAGGAAAAGCACAACGAGGTAACCAAACTTCTCAAGATAGGGTCCATTCGGGAGGTGAAATATCCCGAATAGTTAGCCAACGTAGTTGTAGTGCCTAAAAAAGGGAACAAACTTAGAATGTGTGTGGACTATAAGGATTTGAACAAAGCATGCCCCAAAGATTCCTTTCCTCTTCCCAACATCGATCGCATGATCCATGCCACGGCCGGCCACGAGATCCTCACTTTTCTCGATGCCTATTCTGGGTATAATCAAATCCAGATGAACCCGGAGGACCAGGAAAAGACTTCATTTGTCACCAAATATGGAACATATTGTTATAATGTGATGCCCTTCGGGCTAAAAAATGCAGTGGCTACTTACCAACGCCAAGTAAATAAAATGTTCGAAAGACAAATGGGTAAATCAATGGAAGTTTATATTGATGACATGCTAGTTAAATCCCTGCGCGCAGAGGACCATTAGACCCATTTGCAGGAAACGTTCAAAATTTTGAGGAAATACAACATGAAGCTCAACCCCGAAAAATGTGCTTTCGGGGTCGGTTCGGGCAAGTTCCTCGGCTTCATGGTGTCAAATCGGGGAATTGAGATTAACCCCGATAAAATCAAAGCCATCGAATACATCGTCATCATGGACAGCGTGAAAGCTGTACAAAGGCTAACGGGACGAATTGCGGCCTTAGGCCGATTCATTTCGAGGTCATCAGATTGAAGTCACAAATTTTTCTCTATACTCAAAAAGAAGAACAATTTCGCTTGGACACCGGAATGCCAACAAGCATTAGAGGAACTAAAACGATATCTATCGAGCCTACCACTACTTCACACTCCAAAAACAGACGA